TTTGGGCAACCTGGCAGTATCCCGGTCCTCGTGCAGTCTTCGGGTAGCATGGCAGCTAGGTACCGGAAGGGTGCTACAGCTGAACGATACTATACTATACTATGACATACTGCCAAGCCACGCAGGCTTAGACGGGACCGATCGAAAAGCCGGAGGTGGATTCGAACCGTGAAAATTCCGATCAGCAGTTTCGCCCCTTGACCAGTGAGCTGTCTCAACCTGGAGTTTACAATTAGAGCCCCCAGTGCCAGTGAGAACAAGCATGCCATCGGTTAAGCTGCAGTCGAGAATACTCGTTCTAACGCTCTAAGTTCGACAACGGCTTTCAAGGCTTTTCGAAGAGTTTTCCTGGCATTGTACGCTTCCTCTGTTGTTGGGACCTTTCGAATCCACCAAGCTTCCTGGTCAGCAATTACATCCGGTTGCACCTGATAACCAGAATTGTGCGCAGAACGAACAGGAATTCACCAATGTGATCCGATAAGGCCACAGTCTTGCCTGGGGTTCAATGCTCGTCTGGGTGTCGTAAGTTACATGGCATACAGCAGTACCAGCAAAGCAAATTTAAAGGTGTCATTTAATCCTTTCTTCGTCTGGTATGTGCGTGGGCAGGCTTGTTTAAGGCCAGACGAGATGTGAGAATTGTGCGCGGCCCGGTCTAGCGAAAGCGGACGCTGAACAAAGTGACTACCTATCGATCGTTCCCATTCCGCACATGAACCGTTAAAATGAGTTTTCACAGACAGGCGTTCCTGCTCTGTACAAATTATGCGCAATGAAAAGCGTAGTCTATGGAAGGTGCTTAGTCCCCGTCTATCGTAAGCGATCGGTTTCTCGGTTGTTGGTCTGTCCACCGAGCTTGGCAGTTGGATTGCAAACAATTCATCACTACTCGAGGTGACATTGTCAGTGCGGAGTTGGGTGGATTAATTGCTTCTCTTCTGAATGTGCATATACGGTTTCTAAACAGTATGTAATACGCCCAGCATGAGCGATCGGTCGGGGGCTGGCTTTCGCGTAATTTGATTGGTGAACTCGGAATCCTCGTATTTGGTCGGTTCATTGGACGCCCTCGATTCGACGGTTCCCCCCCCCCCCCTGTAATGATTGGTCCCTTCCCTTTTTGCTTTTTGATCTGGTCTCCTTCATTCGACTGAGTAATTGGAGAAACAATAAGTCAAATCGTTCGGCTGTAGCACCCTTTTGGTGCCTAGCTGCCATGCCACCCGAAGGGAGAACAAGGGCTAGGATACCGCCGGGTTGCTCGAGCCCAGAAAAAAGCAGTTGGGACGCAGTGGTTGGGTTCGAACCATGGAACTTCCTATCAATATTTTCGTGCAAAACCATTCTTCCATCTCGATCCGATCGGACCGTTGGTTACTGTTACGTCGTCCGAAAACCCACATGGTTTCGAATCCAGTAATTGTGTAGTTGTTTTGTTCACAGCGGCTGAAGACTGTGTTTATTGATGGATTTTCTGCGGGGTATCAAGCCTCGGCAAACATCCGCTTCCAATTTTGTTTTTGGGTGAGCAGGTACTTAGGCGTCATTCCAATTGAACTGAGGTCCTCCCATGGCTTCATGAATTGAAACGAGTGACACTGGGTTACATCTTCTACTGGGATGTTTGTGTTCATGTATCCTGGCTGACCTCATGCTTCCTTTGGGTGGCATGACAGCTAGGCACCAAAAGGGGCTACAGCTGAACGCTTTCCAGTATAACCAACACACGGTTTGTCGTACATTGAAGTTTGTGGATTATGTTCAGCCTCTTTATAGCATCCAGTCTTCCCTTTGGCTTCGAGAGAACCCTTCTTCCGCTTTGGGTGGAGCGTGTTTCAACTGAACCGGTGCCCCCACCTGATCCAAATAACGCGTCCGGGACTTCAATGGTCAACCGTTTGCTTTCACAAATATTTTGAGCGCACAGACATTATTACCGAAGAGTGACAGAGCTACTGGTTAGAGTGATGGGGACATACCAATCCGATCCGGTGCATCAGTGGTGGGGAGCAGGAGCACATCAACTACGGGAAGTTCTGAGCAATGAACAATGTTGCCAGCACAATGTGAGACTATTGTCCATGACCAAGCCCCTCAACAGAGGCTATAGGTCGGTGAATATCACAAGGTGGTTAATACCACCTCACAATGGCCCGAGGACAAGCTCAGTGTGGTAGTGTGCCGCGGTAATCAGACTAGAACACACAACAGCTTGATGGGTCCCCCTCTTCAACAGCGAGCACTATCGGGACTGAGTAAAAAAAAGTCCGCTTCGCCGACGTATTCACCCTTGGTAGGGCGAAATTAAAGTTCCTCTGCAGTGCGAGGGGAAAGAGCTGAGCCACCTAGTCTAATTGTTGGATATTCGCCATTCCGGATTGCGTTGATGGGAGAAATGAGTGTGCTTTGACGCCTTGACGACACCATTTTTAACTGACTGCAACTGATTTCATGCAGCTGTTTGCCGGGAAAATCTGTTGCTCAGACAAGCTACCCAAACGGATGAATCGTCGTTGATTGAGTTTAATAAGCGAAAGGAAGTCAAAAAGCGCAATGGGAAAAAAACAAAGAAAGCATCCACTCACTCGTTCACCAACAACGTGGAAGAAATATTTTAACTGCACGATGTTTGGATGATCCAACTGTCGCATAATCTGCAGCTCCCGGTTCTGAGAGGAGGAACAGGAGAAAAACGGAGTTACCAAGAGACAATAATATAGAGGCAGCGATAATGTATCAGTGGTATGGCAATGGAAACGACACCAACATGAAAAGTGACTAAACCTAGATACGCCCACACTTGCGACTCAACAGGAAAGACGGCCTCATGTGACTGAGCTGCTCAGGTAGCAACCATATATTTACTAAAAGACATTGTGCCTCAGCTGGCCACCACACTTGAAGGACGATGGGGTTCTTGGTGAAGCAAACATTAAAAAGAGGATAATGTCTTAATGTGGATATGGTAGGAAGCCTGACTAAAAGCCTTGAGACAGTGGCAACGTAGACATTGTCATGATTAGAAGTGGCTACCTGAGCTGGTTTGAATGCGTTCAAAATAAACCCCAAATGCCTGTGATTTGCGAAGCTCTTTCTGAGAAACCATCGTCTTCATATGTGGTCTAGGGGCCTCGTTCCACAAGGCGCAACCATGTCAGGAAGGCCGAAAAATACTCATTCCAAGAGTAGCCTGCGGGTAAAGCCGTACCGTGCTCTGAGACAGGAAGGTGAAATCAATCAGCGAATCGCTCAGCTGTAATATCCTCTCGGTGCCCCGCTGACACACCACCCGAAAGAAGGACCAAGGCTTGGATACTGCCAGGTTGACCATACCTAGACAGGGGAAGTCGAAATGCAGAGGTCGGATTCGAACCACGAACCTTCCGGTCGTTAATTTGTGCTCTAATCACTGAGCCATTTCGCCCCAAATGTGAAGGTAGTAAGGTGTTTACCCCAGGCGACCAACATGTACATATTCATGGAAGCAGCCATGCTGCCTTCCCCTGAGGAAGGACGGATTTGAGAAGGTTGACTCTAAAAACTGCACACTCCGATTGCCCACCCACTAATTGTGACCACCGGCGCATTATTGAATTAGGTCGAAATACTTTCAAAACCAGAGTCCGGTGTTGCTGTGCACAGCCGTATACGGAATAAGACAGTAAAGTCCTTATTCCCTGCGACCTTAGATTAGGACAACCCCCGGCAGCCGTGCATGTCAGATTATTGAACTATCGACTCCGGGAGCTGCTTGCAAACGAAAGCCTACCTCATGTTTGCTTTGTGGGTCAGACTTTTGAGCCAGAGCCTGAGGGCAGTGTCCCAGAACAAAACCCTGCATCCTCCCACTGCCTTGTGGGTCAGGCTCTTGAGTCAAAGGCTCAAGGTGAGGGTCCTCAAACGAAACTCTCCTCCTCGACCTGCCCGCACAGTTCTGTGTCCACCTTCTAGATCCACGAGACCCTTTTTATATAGGAGCTTTTAACGTTCGTACTCTATGTTAAATTGGCAAACAGGCAATGCTTGCTGAAACCTTATGCTCCTTTAAAATTGATGTGTGTTATGTCTCCGAAACACGTATACAAGACCCAAGCGTGGTTATGCATCTCAGAACGCCAGGGCTGAACTCAGCCCGATGAACTCACATTTCCCCTCCGTACGTCCGGTGACCCAAAAGCGATGAATCCTGGAATATATGACCTGGGAGTTGCACTTAGCCCCAGATCTGAACGCGCTTTGTTGGATCTGATCCCAGTGAACAGTCGTCTTTGCGCCATCCGGTTATCCAGTTCAATCAACCTCAATGCCTCTCGACATAAAAAGCGGTATCTGTTTGTAGTGTCGGCTTACGCACCAACGGGCTGCAGTTTTAATGTTAAGAAGGATACTTTGTGTCGAGTTATCCGGGTCCAATGGTTACGTAAGCATTGACAATATGATCCTTGCGGGTGATATGAATGCCCAAGCCACATCTCGGTGGTCGATTCGGAGGCGACGCTCGTCGCACAGAACGTAGAGCAACTCCTCCAGTTGTGTGCAGATCATTAACTGTTTCTGGCCAGTACGAACTTTCAGTATTGACGTTAGCATCGCGTAATCACCAACTACAAACCAACCATTCACCCAGTTGGATCACGTGGTCATCAGCCACCGATGAAGAGCTACAATTCGAGACTGCCGTTCTTACTGGGGGATACAAGTCCATTCCGATCACGCCACAATGCGTCACCCCTCAGGCGTACACAGATCAGCAGGAAGTATGCCATCATCATTATAATCATCGACAGCATAGCATCAGTGTTCAACACCGATGCTTCAATGCCATACAACCACGATTTACTTGAAAGCCTTGTTGTGAAGAAAAAATAAAGGTGGACGGGGAAGGGACTTAACTCTAGCTTACTATAACAGTTCCGAGGTGCATACACCTCCAAACACTCATTCAGGCAATTTGGATACAAAATGACCACAAGATCGCCACTGACACTGAAATGCATCGTGATATATAAGTCCTCCAAAGGAACAAGTCACCCAGCTAGGATGGTCTGTACCCCGAACTCTTCAAAACGGGTGACTGTTCTGATGAACAGTCTGACAACCATAACACATAAGATTTCGAACGAAAACAGAATACCAGCCGAATGGAGCTTCTTGACCGTCATCCCATTTTTCAAAAAGGACGCAAGGACGTCATGTGAAAATCATTGTGGTATCAGCCTGGTATTCGTCGCATCTAAGGAACTCTCTGGGATTATTTTGCGTAGGTTCATGTCAAACCTACGCCACAGGTGGCGCAGGTTCACAAAAACTACACTGACCTTTTCAATCCGGATAGAAATATCATTTTTCACGGGACCACTGGGACTGATACAGCTGTCCAGGTAAACAAATTTATGTACTAACTAAATCGGCTCATCCGTAAGCATGAGGCTGGGGTTCGAGCCGACCCATTCTTGCAATAGCACTTTACACTTTACGGGCGTGAAGCGCATGCCAAATCATGAGGCGGGATTATTTAGATTATTTAATATTGTTTACATTACCACTGGGTAAGATCCAAGAAGAGCTATGTCGTCTGCGTACTCGATATCTTGGAGCGGACGCCCAGGGAGCACTTCGACCCCACAGGCACTACAGGCTGGTAGTGAGTTTTGCATGATCGTATAAATGACGAAGTTGAAGAGGAAAGGTGAAATAGGACAGTCCTGTCTGACACCACTTAACGTGGTAAACTCAGGAGAGAGGTTCCCATGAATCTTCACACGGCCGCGGGAGTTGGAGTACAGCGACTTAGGGAGGACCAAGAATTTATGGGGGACCCCTTTGCTGCACAGACACTACCATAGTGCCTGACGGTCCACAGAGTCAAAGGCAGCTTTCAGATCAAGTAACACAACCATGGTTGGTTGCTGAAAGCAGTGTCGCTGTTCCAGAATTTGTCGGAGGGTGAAGATATGATCGACGCATCCTCTTGCAGGACGCAACTAAGCTTGGTTTTCACAGATCCGTCTTTCCGTGTTCAGTCAACCTTCGAAGGATAAGACCTTCGATGCCACGGTGACGTCCGCGTTCCGTTTTTGAATACAGGGATAACTGTCGACATGCCCCACTCTGCAGATCCTTTCTCTTCACACCATATCGCACCGATTAGTTTTTTTTTTTGGTCATCAGGGATTCTCCGCCTT